TTACCTGTATAGGGTGGCACAGTTGCTGATTGAAATCGACACTCCTCATTATTCACACTCCTTCTGCCAGTCCACCCTCAAATAACGATGTCTGTACATAAAGTGCTACTATTGATCTCATCAGTAGGCACAATTTTACAGGCGATTCGTTCCTCTTGACCAACATCCACTTTCTCAAATTGACAACTTGGATTTGGCAAGACTTTGAAGTAATATAGAAGTTATTGCTTGTTAATTTTTGTAGACTATAAGCTAAAGGCACTAGTTATCAACTTGTCCCCTTTCCGCATTACTACAATATTTCTTAAAGTCAAACCATCATCCGCAAAGCCAAGCATTTAAGGAAAGATAGAGTGCGAAAAGTGGTGGATATTTAAATTATTTTTAGCTTTCTTAAAGCTCAACACTTTTACAGGAGCTTGCAAATTTATCCAGCTCTTTACACTTTCGCTCGTAAATTAGAATTAGAAGTGGATTGATGGAAATTAATAAAGTCCATCGAGTCTTCTTAAACAACAGTTGCAATCCCAAAAATCAAGTGTGATGAACTCAGCAAATTGACTTGCCTCTGTTCAGCTACCGAGGCGTAGCTTTGCCATCCATTGGTGCTGTCTTATTACCCGAGGTTCTTATTGAAAAAATTATTTAGGCTATGATTGGCGTACCCCTCTATAATGCCTTCGACATATCCTCCTCTCAATGAGGCCGAGACGAAGGATGCGGAGAGGAAGGTGTTACGATAGTGCTACTGAAATGTGTGCGTACAGGTTGGCTAACTACTCAACACCAGCTCCCATGCCAATACAAAAGGATGACCAGTGCTATCATCTCGATTGTCAAGTCGTTTTATTACTCTCTGCCATCAATACACAAATGCATTCCAGAATCTCGTCATCTCAGCACCTCCGATCAAATTAGTCGGGAATGGCGGGGAAGGCTGCCTTGTGCAGTTCTCTCAGCTCCTTGCGAAGGGTCTGCAATTCGCGTGTCTGGTGCAGTGCTAGCGCATCCAAATTCGCCTTTCTCAGCAATGACTTGTAGCAAGCCTCCGCACGAAGTACATCCGTAGTGGCGTGAGCTGCCGTAGGGTAAAATTAAATCCAAATAAATACAACAAATTCAAATCAGCCTGTATCAGCATTACTGAAACAGATAACAGGGGATCGCTCTTAACTGTGTCACCCTCTCCAGCACTTAAGAAGTGATTAAAGCAAAAAAAACGGCCTTACTACTAAGCATCCCGCGATTACGGTTTCCATGCCACCCTATGAACACCAGT